CAGCGAGGGAACTTACATAAAAGTTCTTGGCTCTGGCTCTGGCGTAGCCTCATGGTTTATCTTGCATAACTCTGCTCGCTGGGGCTACCCAGGGAAGGCAGAGCAGACCCTGCCAGGAGCTCCTCCTGCCTCCCTGCACTGTGTGACGGGCGCTGCTGCTCTCGGGGCCACAGAGCTCTTCTGACCCCACTCCTGTGGGCTTCTCACCTCGGCAGGGTGGATCCGGTGCCAGCGGCTGTGTTTGAAGGCCTGGAATGATGGGGAATGTGGAGCTGAATGGTTCCTGTAAGAGACCATGGAACAGTCTTTCAGTGCCTAAAGGGGCTCCAGGAAACCTGGAGAGGGGCTTTGGACAAGGGATGGAGGGACAGGACAAGGGAAATGGCTGGAACCTGCCAGAGGGGAGATTGAGATGAGCTCTTGGGCAGAAGCTCTTCCCTGTGAGGGTGCTGAGGCGCTGGCACAGGGTGCCCAGAGAAGCTGTGGCTGCCCCATCCCTGGCAGTGTTCAAGGCCAGGTTGGACACAGGGGCTTGGAGCAACCTGCTCTAGTGGAAGGTGTCCCTGCCCGGGGCAGGGGTTCGAGCTGGAGGAGCTTTAAGGTCCCTTCAGCACAAACCGTTGCACGGTTCTATTTCTCTGTTCTCTTCCTTATAAACCATCTGACCCCTCGTGCTCTGGCCCTTCCTGTGGGCTCGGTGGCAGATGCCAGGACAGTGCCTGGTGTGCAGAAACACGGGTTCTTTCCTGGTCACTTCTTGGCTCCTCGCTCCCGAGTCCTGTGCCCACGTTCCCTCCCAGCTCCCTTTGGCCTCCCTGGTGTGTCGGTGTCCTCTGGCTCCGCCGTGCCACCGGTCCCGGCAGTGCCAGCGCTGCCGTCCTCACCCGTACCGCAGCGAGGTCCTGGGCACGGTGCATTTCCATCAGGAACCAGAGGGCTCGGGTGCTCTTTCTCCTGGCTGTGGAGCTGAGCTGGAAATGCAGTGCTGCAGTGCTGCAGTGCTGCAGTGCAGCTGCAGGCAGGGTCTTGCTGCAACCTCTTCAGCTGGCAGCCCCATGGGGAAGGTGCTGTGTGTGCTCTGGACCATCCAAGGCACGCAGGGCTCTTGGTAAGCACCCAGCCAGCAGAGCAGAGCTTCCAAAGGGATGGGTGAAAAGAGGCTGCCTATTGCAGGCACCAGCTCCCCTTTCATGTCACCCACCCTTGTTCTCCTCTGTCCTCCCGTTCTCTTGCTGTGTTGAAAGTTGCTGCCCAGCCCCAGCCTCTTGCGCTGCCTCCCTGCTTTCTGCCTCTGCGCCCCGGTTCCCAAGCTGAAGAGCTGCTCTGTTTGCATCTCGGAGAGATCAGCTGCGTTACTGGCAGTCACTGTGTCACTGGACCGGCACTGCCTCCTCTTAAATTCAGCACACCCTGCTCTGTGGGAGATGGGGAGGACACGGACTTCATTTGCACGTCAGATACTTCCCTGCTCTAGCTGGGTTACAGCTGAGTGTGCCTGACAGGATCCCATCGGGGGATGTGGGAGAGCTGGGCCATCATCCACGGCTGGCTTTCTTACGTGTGGGGTGTGCTGAGGTTCCGTGGGCTCTGCAGCAGGCTCTGGGACACCCTTGGCCCCAGACCTTGGGGGTGTCCAGCACTCTGGGTCTGCCCACAGGCTTCACAGTCGTGGGATCCCACCCGGGGTTGGGTTGAGTTGGGTTGGGAGGGACCTTAAAGCTCCTCCAGTTATATCAGCCAGGCCCAGGAGAAGGCAGAGGAGGAAGCTGGGTGCTTCTGACTTATAACAGGTTTTTGTGTGCGATGGTTCCTTTCTTCTAGAGGTCACACTTCTCTCAACACGTTTATTGTCGTAGCATGGAAATGATCATCATAATGGCTTTGGATGGGGTGTTCTTCCGTCTAGAGTTGGAAACTGGGGAATTTGGTGCAAATAGATGAGGCTTAAACGTTGGATTGATGAGGATTTACCCGTTGCTGAGCTCGGGACTCAGGGTGTGAAGTGGCCGGTGCTGAGAGGTGCGAGGCTGCTGCCTGCTGGAGGCAGCTTCTGCTCCGGGGCTCTGTGCAGTTCCCTGCTGGGCAGGAGTTCACATGCTGCTGCCC